TTGGGTTAAAACTCGATGGGGAGTCCCTCCTGCGCAAGGGTTGCCGTGGTGATGGGGTGGGGGTGCAGAACCTGCTGCTTTCTGCAGCGCCTCCGGCCTGGTTTTGCTCATACCAGCTGGCGGAGCCCCCGCTCCCACCTGCTGCTCCTGAATGGCTGCCCAGTACTGACACTCAGTGCAGGATGGCCCTGGGTCCCGGCCAGGCATGTCCTCACAACATGTCCTGACTTAGTCCAGCTACAGCATGGCCAGAGGACAAGCCGGGCTCCTCCTAGCCCCAGAGAGTGGATCTCAACCTGCCTTGGCTGGACTCTGCTATCAGTTTTCCATGCTGGTACATGGTGGGCCGGACAACCATTGGGTAACCTCCTGGCTACCGGGCAACCTTTGCCTTACAGATAGCTGACTATTGGCCAAATCTGGGCTGCGGCCTTGATGAGTTTTGAAACAGGCAGATCTTATCACGTGTCCCGATGCAAGGTCAGAGACTCTGAGCTCAGCACTGCAGTGACATCTGGAAGCATGCAGGGACACCCAGGAGCAGTGCGAGACACGCACCTGCTGGCCCAAGTGCTTTGGAGATGTGGAAATAAACTTTCCCTAGATTGCTTTTTGGGGTCTAACTGTGTGCCAAATGCATGTCAGAGCCCTAATCAGTCCTCTGGCTCTAAGATGTCACTGAAGGAAAAGGCACTGTCCAGGGTGGGCCACGGGCCAATTCCACTAGTGTCCTGACACCCACAGGGGGACACAGACAGGAGGAAGCTATGTGTGCAAACACAGGAGAAACCAGCCCTGCCCACACAGTGACCCCAGGGTTGTGGAGAGAGACTGTTGTGGCCACTGCAGTCTGTCACTGGTGATGGCAGAAGAGGAATATACTGCTGGAGGCAGCACACCACGCAATTCCTAATCAGAGTGGCTTCGACAATAAGGGGAAATGGGTTCAGTCACGTATACGAAGTCAGTAAGTACAGTGTCCCATGGTGACCTCAGCAAGGTCACCAGAGTGCCAGCTTCTTTTACCTGCCTGCTTGGCTTCTTGGTGACCACCTTAGGCTGACTCCTTCATGGTGCCAGGTGGCTGCCACACCTCTTACTGTCACCTGCACAGGACCAGTCAGAGGCAGGACTGGTGCTGAGCTGTCCAGAACACAGCTGCCAGCCTCCCTGTGACTATAACACATGCCTCTCCCAAACAGCAGTAGCAGGATGTACAGAGTTGCTGTGGGTTGAATTAACCAGGTTTCTGTACCACATGGGTGGTCTTTTACTGGGCATGAGCAGGGCTTTATCAATAGTGGAGAAAGTGAGGTAGGAGATGGCCACTGCTGCCCCTGTCTTCCCTCTGGAGAGTTCTGCTGCTCACCCTGGTCCCTGATATCTTCCATAGAGGGCCTAAGTGACCCCAGAAACATCTAGCACCACTTACTTGAGGTTCTGCAGGGTCCACGTGGCTTCCTCCCCTCTGTCCCCAGCACCTCCGCTTGGCTCCTTTCCCTAGCCACTCGGGCTCCCAGCTTCCCCTGGGCCTCGCCCTCACCTCACTGCTCCACTGGGTCCTCTGCATGCTTCACCTGGCTGGACCTGCTCACCCCGCTGGCCCTGTTTGTCATTTTCTTAGTGCCATCCTAGTCTCTGCAGGTGCAGCCCACATGCCCACCCACCTGTTCTGCGTGGCCGCAGCCCAACTCAGAGGCAGACGTTCCACTGATTTCCTGTCCACGGAAGGCTGGGTGGGTGGGGAGTCTCTCGCAGGTATAGCCCGTGTGCGTGTGGACAGTGCAGTGGCAGGTGCTCAGGGAAGTTCAGGGAGGCTGGGAGGTGGCACAGCCCCTACTCCCCTCCACTCCCAAGAGGCTCTCATGCCCATCTGTCACTGTTCAGTTCCTATGCTCTGGAGGACTAAGGGATCCTGTGGAGCCTGTACCCTGGGAGGATAGACCTCCATCACTCTGGCTAGTCAGGGTGTGTGCTCCTGGTTGGGGTCCCTCTGTGCCCCAGTGAGCTCACTGATGGTCCCCAAAGGCTGCCCTTCCAGGGCATGGGCTGTTATTTATGTTAAGTGACTGCCTCCCATCTTGGTATCTAAACCCTTGTTGTTCACTTAACTCTCTCGAAATGGAAGAGGGTCATCCTGGGGAGGGGCAGCAGTAGTCCAGTCTGCTCTCTGCCTGTTCTTGCCCTCAGGTATTTCCGTCACTACACCAGGCTGCCTGGGCAGTGCTGGGACATGGTCCTCTCCTTCTAGCAGCCCTCTTGCTGGCCTGTTGGAGATGGTCCAGGACCTGAATCCCTGAAGTTCCTCCAAATCTGCCCTGCCATCCCTTCCCAGCCCCCAGATCTTCCTCCCAGAAAGATAGGGAGGAAGGGAGGGCCAGGGAGGGAGCTTGGGTGGAGAGGCTCCGGCTGGCAGGGAAGGGCTGGGAAGGGGCTTGGCCCTCTGGCAGGCACCAAGACCCGCCGCTGCCCCCATGAGGCCCCGCTCCTGCCGCCTGCTCTAATAAACCCTAAACTCCAGTGGTTTAAGGGAAGACTTCAGATTAACATTTAAATTAATGCTGGACTGGAAATCTGCAGCCTGGGTCGCTGATGTGACTCTGCTAACTTGTTCTGTGACCTGGGGCAGAAACGGGAAATGATCTCTCTCCTGGAGACGTCCCTCCTGAGAAGCCCACCCCCATCCAGGAGGAAGCCTTGCCTCCCCTTGTGATGAACCCGCACTGACCCAGCAGCTCTGCTGGACTGTGCAGTGTGCTCCCACCAGGGCGGAGGTCCCTTTGTCACTCTGTGACACAGAGGTGGCCAGGGCGATGTCCTGGTCAGCCCTTGATGCCCACCTTCCACCCGACTGAGCTTGGAGCCCCTTCCTGTGTCTCCATCGCACCTGTGGAAGGGAGAGCAGGGCCAGGCAGGAGATGGGAGGTGGGTGAGCTCAGAGGCAGCTTGCGTGGTCCCCACTGACTCCGATGCCCAGAGTTTCTGTCCTGCTCTGGCTGGCTGCGGGGTGTGGGTGTGTTTGGGAGGCTGATTGTGACCCTGTGGCCTGAAGGGTTTCCAGCATGTGGATGAGTTTTCCCCTGGGGGAAACGGGTTGTGCACAGCTACCTCACTTGGCCACTCATCTACCTTTCTTCACTTGCTCTTCCAAGCCTCTTAGGGATGATGGCTGTGTCCTGGGCCTGTCACTGTCACTCTGACCACTCAGGGCACTTGGGGGTGCTCAATGATGCAGCAGTCACACTCCGGAGGCCTCTTTCCTGCACCTGTGCTGTGCCCCAAGATGGCCGAGAGCAGAGAGCAGGAACTAATTGTGGCACTAATGGCCATGAGATGCTTCCTTCTGCGTGGGCAGCAGGGCTGACTTTGGTAGCTCCTGAGAGTGGGGACACCCACACAGTCTGCAGGGCAGGGACGGAAAACAAGGACATGGGGGATGGGGCCTCATCCCCGGGCCCCAGAAGAGGGGAAAGGCACAGTGGTGGCCCAGGAGACCTCACAATGGAGAGATTCGTGAAGCCATTTTGTGCAGAGCGGGTCAGAGAACAGCAGCAAACAGGGAAACACCAGTCTTTCTGCTGTGTTGCCTAGGAGGAGAACATCAAGGCTCCCTAGAGGGCTCAGTCATGGAGCTGACAACCTGATGTCCCTGCTGTGCCCTGGGCCTGAAGAATGGGATAGTTTCAAGTTCCAAAAGCTTCCAGAAAGTGCATGCTTTCTAGTGCCAAGTGATAGGACCTCTTCAAGCTAGAGAGAGCAGAAAAAGCTGGCTCTGAAAGGGTTAGGGTAACCTGAGGGACAGGAGATCATCGTGATGGTTGCTTTTCCACACACAGATGCTAAATGCTGCCATCATTCATGTCCTACACTTCTGGCCAGGGCTGGGCAGCCTCCCATCCCAACTGATAGGCCTCAGGGACATAGGTTGCTTGCTGGGGTCTTGGGCCAAGAAGGACTGAGTGCCACCCTAGACCTTAAGCTCAGCAATAGTTAATTACAGTGACCAGGGTCACCAGGCCAGGCTTGCCTACATGCCAAGGATGGGTGTGAGGGCAGCAGGCTCCCGGAAGCTGCCCTGTCCCTCTCAGCCAGCCATGCCATAGGGACCGTGGGAAGGGCCCCTCCCAGCACGCTGCCTGGACAGCAGCCAGCCTTGTGCACCAGGCGTCTCCATGGCCACAGCAGCCTTTGTCACTATCCAAGCAGGCTGTGCCACCAGCCGCGGGAGCCATGGCACAATCAGAAGATAGTGCCAGACGCAGGGTGGGGGCGACGGTGCCACAGGCAGATCCCGGGCACATGAAGCTCCTGCCACTCTAACAAGCAGCCTTGGAAAGGCAGGCTTAAATCAGACAGGGGCTCTGTGTGTCACTCTCCAGTCAGGAGAGCCATTCAGCCCTGCAGGCAGCCGTGGGTTCACTGACATGGATGCCTGGTCACATCCCTCCGGACTGGCCGCATTGCGCTGGCCTCTCATTCTCAGTCAAGGGAGAGGGGATGTCCTGTCAGTTTCCAGCTGGTGCAGGGGCACTGAATGGCTTTGCTTTTCATCTGTGAGGATGAGGCCCTTGGGCTTAGGGACAAGGGGAGAGGGGTTCAGGAGGGAAAAGCAGGCACATGGCTGATGAAGGGTAGGTTCCTGAGGGCCCCCTCCAATCTCAGTGAAGCAGGGGGAAGTGTGTGGGAGCAGAACAGGGTTTGGGGCTGCACTGCACAAAGGGTGCTGGGGTCTAACACAGCCACAGAGGCTGCGTGTCAGACAGGCTCCTGTCCTAGGTTCAGAGGAGCAAAACACACTCAGAGGGCACCAAAGGGAATGCAAAGCACGTGAGTCTCCCAAGGTTATTTTGGAATGGGCCAGCACAGGATCCACTCTGTTCAGCAGCCTGCGTGGCTGCTGGTGGCCAGGCACGCTCTGCAGAGGGCCCCGATGCCTGCCAGAGACCACTACCCATTTCCTGACCGGCTGTCCCCTGTCTGGTTCAGCATGCAGGGCCCTGATGGATGAAGTGGAGTACGACATCACCAAGGCCCGGCAAAAGAAGACCAAGGTGGGCTCCTACCGGATCAGGCCTGACGGGACGCAGGAGAGGAGAAAGGTAGTGGGAAAGAAATTATGTGCCAGTGTATAATTGCGGATATGGGCAATTACCAACCATTTATCCAAACAGCAGTTGGTCTTAATCTTCTAACCTTTCTCTTGTTCAGGGTATCAGCTCTAAATTGCTTCTGAGTCCTAGGGGACCCAAAGTAATCTTTAAGCTTGAAATTGAAGTGTCTCTCTCAGCACCTAACTTTGTGTCTTGTCAAGTTGGAAGACATTTCAGCACCGTTATTCATCAGAATAAAAGCAGCACTGCCGTGGTTCTTGGGTGAGGCCACAGGGTTCAGGGAGCTGAGCACCCTCCTCTTGGACACCTCTTCCTCCTGAGGTCTGCAGATCAGTGGTGGGGGCAGGAGAGGCACAACTCATCCCCCAGAGCCAACTCATTCACTTGGCTGATGAGGAAGAAGTTTTCTTGCTCAAAGCCGACTCCATGGGGCTCACCCCAAAATACAGTATGTTGGGTGGGGGACTGTGAAGGAGGAGTCAGGAAGGGGTTCCAGGAGCCGTGAATGTGGGTGCTGGTGAGGATCTAGGTTCTGGTTTTAGGAGACACACGCCTCGAAACATAGAGGCTAAGAGCCCAGAAGCACAAAATCCCAGAGGAGTCATGTCAGGAAAATTGTCCTGTGAAGTCACGCAGCCCATGCAAAGCAGAGCAGGTGCTGGGTTTGGATTTCTCACTGCTGTATGTGTCCTTTCATAATGCACCTTTCGATAGAGCAGCTATGGGCCAGAGCTGTCCCTGCACTTCTGACTTCTTGGGTGGTGGCTGTCCGAAGAAGACAGGAGGTGGAGAAAGATTCCCAAGGAGCTGTGCACAGGGATCAATTGTGGGGAGGGATAGATGACCAATGGAAGGGATGTCATTTTCCTGAGTTAGGAACAACCAAGTCAGTGTCTGCTGCAGAGGTAACAGGGAACCAGGGGCCTCTCTGGAACTCACAGAAGACCCTCAAGAGGTGCGTCACCGGAAGGCGGTCATGCAGATCCGCTGGCCACAGCCCTGGCTGGCACCCCGTGCTCTCAGAAGAACAGTGCACAGGGGTCGGGTGCCCCCTCTTCAAGGAAACCTCTGAGGCCAGGGTGGCCTACTGCATACAGGTGTGGCCAGGGGCTGTGGGACAGACAAAGCAGGCCACTTCCAGCGTAGATGGAAAGGACGGGCAGAAGAAAGACACCTCAAGGCCCAGAGTATCTGTCACACAATGGCCAGCCTGACAGTGTCCTGTTGTGAAGAACCCCTGCCTTGGGGAGGGGTGCCTGCCCCCCTCCCACATTCCATGAAGCCCTGAGAGCCTCTCCCCTCTTCCTGAAAATCTTGCCCTCTCTTCTGCCTGTTTAACCACTGGCAGTGCCCCTGCTGCCTAGAGAATCCAGTGGTCTTGTTGCACATGGCTCCTTCTCCTTTTGTCCTGTAGGTGGGGTCGGAAGCTGGGGTAGGGGACATCCTTGTCAGGCCCTCAGGGTCCCAGGTCCAGGACCCTCCCTTGCCTGCATATGGCTCCTGCCATCTTCTTCCCTTGACTTCAGATCCCCTGAACAGGGGCCTCAGGGTGCAGTTCTGGTGGGTTCTTGGCAGGGTGGGTGGGGTCCAGCTCCCTCCTGAGCCTCAATGCCTCCTGCTGCCTACATCTGCAAGGTGCTCCACAGTGGAGTGCCCAGGGCCCCTGGGAGGCCTCACACCTGCTCCTGGGCATCCACAGTGGGTTGTTACTCAGCCTCGCAGAGGCGTGATGAGAAGGGGAAGCCTTTGTGGGCTCCCAGTCCCTCCTGCACTCACATCTCTGCAGAGACCCCCTGGGACAGCTGCCTACAGTCACTGAACCCCCAGACTGCTGTCCTCTCTCAGGCAAGATGTGCTTCTTTTTTTTTTTTTTTTTGCCTTTTTCCTTTTTATCGGTACCGACGATCGAACTCACGACTGTCTGCTTGCAAGGCAGGTGCTTATGCTGCTGAGCTAAATCTCCAGCCCCCCAAGATGTGCTTCTTATGCCCCACCCTAACCCTCCTCTAGAGACTGCTGAATTGGAGGGAATCCTGGAGGGACAGGGACAAAGACCCTGGCCTGGTGGACAGCAAGAGTCCAGGGGAAGGAACCCCATTCTCCCTGAGTCATGGCCAAGACTCCTGATGGCTGCCACATACCTAGAGAACCAGGGTGCTTGGCTTAGAGCCACTTTGTGGGCTCCTCCCTTAGCTGAGGCATCCACGGGCAGGGATGTGGTACTGGGGATTATGAGAAAATCAGTCCTGGTTATTTTAATTGATGTTTCCCTCAAGACAGCCGAGAGACCTTCAAAGCTATTGTTTTTTGGGGGGTGGGGGTAGGGGGTACTAGAATCGAAATCACAGCTTCACGCTTACCAGGCAGATGCTAAATTCCCTGCCCCAGGGTTATCCGTTTTAAGGAACAACCTGTAAAATGGGGTTGCTGGGAGGAAGAGCAACGTAGTAACACAGTGTCTGCCACCCTATACTCAGAATCACTGTCCCCTTGTGCTGGAATTATTCTCCTTCTTCACTGTGACATCCACCAGCAATCCCTTGGCCTACTCAGGAGGCTTGCTATGAGTTTGAGGCCATCCTAAGCTCCATAGCAAGACACTGTCTCAAAAACAAACAAAAAAAGACACATTTTCCCTTTGAACGTTTTGCATGTCATTTGTCTCCCTTTCAAAGAGGAAGAGGTGCACAGAGCAGCCTGCGACTGGTTCATGGCACACAAATGAGTGCTCGGTTCCATTTGCAAAGGTTTCTCTCCACAGCAAAGTGGTGACGGGTGGGAGGCTGTTCCCACTGGTCTTGCTTAGTGGGGAGGTCCCCATCAGGGCCTCCCAACACTGTTACAAGCCGTATCTGGTCAGCAAGATGCAGCCAGCATTGTGGCACTGAGATGCTGTCTGTTTCCTATTTAACACACTGAACAAAAGACAGTTTTGGTCAAAACTCAGTGAACTAACTGGAACACAGCTGCCTGATGACAGAGGCTGTGTGTCTGCCCCCCTGCCCCCGGAAAGTGCGTGTCTACCTCTTCTACAGGGCTAAAGTCAGATGTTTGAGATGGAGAGGTGAACAAATCGCTGCTCTCTGGGGACAGGGGCTGGGAGCCCTGGATGTTGCAACCCTGAGATCTGGCTGCTGGTCTTGGGGTCCAGTCCGTCACTTATCTCCTGGCAGGGCCTGGAAGGAGCTGCCTGGTGCTGGTCAGGAGATGCAAAGCAGAGCACCAAGGGTTCTTTCACCCTGGCCTGGTGGCGGAGCAGACCGTGTTCTCGGCTGAGTGCAGCAAGGTCAGCACAAAACAGTTTTGTCGCTGCTGTTGTCTTGAGGCAGGGTCTTGCTCTGTAGTCCAAGATGGCCTCGAACTTCGGTGGTCTTTGTGCCTCGACTGGTGGGTGCTGAGAGTACAGATGTGTACCACCACACCCAGCTTTTCTGTTTTTCTTACAGCTAATAGGAGTAAACAGCGTCCCTGGAGCTGCTCCATTCTAGAAATGCAGGAGGTGGGCTCGTGTGTGCACTGCTTGTGTCTATGTGCGTGTGTGTCTATGTGCAGGGGTGTGCACACATGGTAGGTGTGTGTGTGTGTGTGTGTGTGTGTGTGTGTGCATGCGCATGCCCAACACAAACACAAAAGTTGGAAATTACTGATCTCCAAGTGGACGGGACAGATGCTGGAGAAGGCCAAGGGCTGCTATGCAAGTGGCAGTCAGGTACCCAGAGGCGCCTCGGGTGACCAGCAGGCTGCTGACTGGCACAGTGAACGCCCTGGGTGGCATCTTCATGGCAACAGCCTGGGGACTGTGCTCTTCTGGGTGGGGCCAATAGGAGGACCTTTTCCCCAGGGCCTCCTGGCCTCCACTGTGGTCTCCATAAGAGTTAACTGGACTAGGGATTTAACTCAGAGGCATAAGTGCCTGCCTGGCAAGCACAAGGTCATGAGTTTGATCCCTGGTACCAAAAAACCCCCCAAACAGTTAACCACACCCAGTCCCCCAACCCAGGAATTAAAAATTCACATCCTCCCAGGGTCCATGCAGAAGATGAGTGACATGAAATTAAAAGGGAAAGAGATTATTTTAATCCTCTTGGTGGGCATAAAACAATGAAGGGAATAGGGCCAGAAAAGTTGTCTTTTGATGGGCTCTGCGGGATGCAGAGTGGAGAACTGGGAGGCCAGGAGGAAGACCAGGATGACACTGGCAAGGCAGGGCCCTCTGCAGGCGAGTGTGTGTGTCTGTGTGTCCGTATGACCACATATCCGTGTGTCTGTGTCTCTGTGGTTGAACTGCAGCGAGAAGACACAGAATTCTTCCCTGTGAGTAGGAACCTGCAGTGGTGTCCACTCGGGGGCTGTGACTTAGTGATAAAGAAGAAAGCGACATATTGTGTTTCCTGAGGGTGGAGGAAGGAGACAGATTTTCCTACCTGCCTTGTGAGCTGGGCTTTGCTTCTGAAGTTTCTCAGGTCTGATTGAAAAAATTTCCACTTTGTGAGGAGGAGGAAGAGGACATCACACCGTAAAAGGACACACCCCAAGGTGACTGGGTCTGAGGAGTGGAGAGCCACTGTCCAGCAGTGGTCTCAAAGACAGTGACATACAGAGGGACACACAACCACAGGCCCAGCGTTCCTGCAGAAAGAACCCATGGAATTTTCTTTGTCGTGACTCAGCCATAAAGAAATGGTCTGAGCTTTCAGAGTATCGTTTTCCCCTCTAATCCCAGCATCGGTTTTGCTTGCGAAGGGTCCTGCATGGGGAGGTCCAAGTGGACCCAACCCGTCTTTCCTACCAGATGCTGTTATGCACCTCCCACCGTGTGTTCTCTAGTCCAGAACCTGAGGTGACCTGGTTCCTGCACTGTAACACAGACCCTGAGGAGGTAGACACGCCCCCAGGTCTCTGCCCTGGCTGCCAGACACCCCAGATCACAGTGGTCGTCACTCAGGCCTGACATCTCTGGAGGAGCTGCCAAAGCACCGCAAAGCTTT